AATTTTCATTTAAATAATTCGGTCACTCAGTATACTTGATAATATTTAATAACAGTTTTATCCATATCTATAACGAAGAGTTTGGCGCAAAAATCGCAATACTAAACTGAATTGCAAAACAGCAGTAGGTCAGGTAGGAAATAAGGTAAGAGTTCATACAACACGCAACATAAATTCAAAGTAGATTTGTGCCCACAGATTCGCAGAAATTTTTTCACTTGACCTTTACTATTGTTTTTGATAAAGCTCTTATCATATCAGTGGTACTAAGTGTGTAAATAAAAAAATCAACAATAAAATAGGGGTTGGGACGCCATTTTATAAAACAAGTTCAGCCACATCCAATTGACAGCCTAACTCATTTTTTAAATTAGTAAGTTAGTAATTATTTATTTTGTGTTGTATTAATCATTGTTACAAGTTTTTGTCTACATAAAAGTAGGTACAAAATATTACATTGAAATCGATTTTAAATGTTATGAAAAAAAAAAATTTTTTTTTGTTGTAAAAACAGATGTTTCAACAAGCATTAATAATAACTTGTTTCTGTAATATCATTGTTGTAATAACAACTTATGGTTGATCCGAATAACGAGCAAGTTTTCTCATGAACCAGGTCGAAAACGAGCCACACGTCCTTGACAGCTGCACCTTTCAACCCCAATGTCTGGTATCGTTGTAAATATTATATTATAGTAGGTATCGAAGATAAGAGCTGTGAGGTTGCTCATATGCGTAGGAGCACAGCACGTATTTCTCACTTCAAGATCAGGGATGGCACTATCAAAGATTTCCTAAAAAATGAAAACGTACAAAATCATAAATTTTTTTTAAACAATGTATAAGGAACGTACATGACTATGCATAAATATATAAACTACTTTCTACTTAAATAATTAGAATTTACATTTGTTCTCCAAATTTTACACATGCATAGATTCACACTAAAAACGGTTTGATCACTCGTACTCACTTCGATCGCCAATACGAAATTTCCCATAACAAGGCATTTATTCTTAAAAAGTTAAACTTTTAGACAGAGAAAAAGGAGTGGGTTAAAATCATTTTAGAAATCGACGAAGAAGTAGTTGTAGGTTATCGAGGTGTAAAAGTTGGCAATAGAAGAAAAGGTAGTTGTTCTGACATGCCTGAAAATCATCGGCTACAGAAGTTAACACTGCTGGATTTTTACGTAGCTCGCAGTTGAAACATATTAATCCATATCCTTATTTGTAGTATATTTTGGCTAATACAGCTTATTTTGAGAAAAAAATGTAGCGTAAAGGAATAGTGACGTCCGCACCAAACTCCAAAATTTAATTTAAATTGACCTTGAAATAGGTGACCAGAAAAAGTAAATAATAAAAATGTCCAAAGTAAAAATGTGATGAATGTTATTTAAAAGTCAAAAAATCAGAGAAAATATTAATACATTCTAAAAGTGGTAAAATCACAAGGTGTAATTTTTTAGAAATTTCGACATAAAACGTGTATTGAAAGTAAGTTAAACTTGTTAAGGACATTAATAAACCTATGAAGTAAAATACAAGGTGATTAAAATTTATGATAAAAGCAATACCATTAATTCTTTATGGCTTGAGAAAAACTTACTTGTAATAAGTCGTAATTTGTGACAATCTTTCTTTTCTGTCCGCAGTATCCTCGGCATTCATATGTAGAATATGAATCGGGTGAGATAATAAAGGGATATCCAACTTCTCTAAATTCAGCTGTAAAAATATACTTTGCACATGGACTATTGTCTTTGTCTACGGATCTTCGATTTCTGGTCAATGTAGTTGATTTAACGAATGGTGTTTTTTCTTCTTCGAGCATTTCCCCTTTTCCTCGATGCACATGAAATTCTGGGTGTTTGATTGCATGCTCGTAGATTTTTAATGATTCATTTTTCTGCTTTGAGCTGAAGTCTAAAAACAAATTTCAAATTCAATTAAAAAAACCAACGCTCCTGAAGCTGGTTCGGTTTTGTGTATTCATCCATTGCCTAGTACATAAATTTTATTTTTTTTACACTGCTCATAATTTTGTGGATTACTGTACTGATTAGTTTAATTATTAAATTTTATGTCACTGTTATCTTATTTATAATATCAATTTATAAATAATTCTAGCATCTATACTCTTAACGATCCATTATCGACATTTTACCTCATGTTTTTCCTTAAGCAGGGGAAAAAAAATTACCACAAAATTCGGTTAACATTATAGTTGAAACTCATAAGTCCCAACTCGTTTTTACAGTAAAAAATCATATTACTTTTTGTTTTTGTTGTGCGGCTTTTTTGAAAAAATTTTTTTTATACCTGGTATGCACTATGGAATCATAAGGTCTTAATTTATTTTTACATTCTGACATAAAAAATCATTAGAAAAAATTTTTTTTATTACATTTTAATAGAAATTTAATACTTTACACTATTAATATCAAGTTATTAGCTGCGAGTAGGTATTATCTCCTACAGGATGTAGATAGTTTGCCTATTTGCTTGATAAAATATAAAGAAAAGTTACCCACCAGCTTTATAACTTTCAAATTCCGATGTACTATTGTCATCGTGATTGAATATCACGAGAATTGGTGACTTGTCGTCCGCAGGTTCTTTGTTTCGACGTACAAAGTCCACTTGCACGTGGTCACCGGATTCAGTTGTTGCAACAACAATCAGTCCTAGATTCGGATGTTCTCCAGAAAGCCACGAAACCACGGCTGGGGTGACATCAAACACCTGCCGGGAGCACATTGGATTTACAAATACAAAAAGATATTAAAAATGCAAAAGCGTTTCGATTTCGTAATTTCAATTAGCTGAAAAACTTACCAGCCAACTTGAAACGTTAGCTGCAATGGTATGCTTATCCAATAGCTTGTGGAAAACGGGATCATCCAGAGTTTCATTCGACTGCACTTGATAAACGCTAAACTGTTAAAATAATAGTAAAATTAGTAAATTAATGAAAAATCTGTTTGCCGCCGATTTATCTCTTCTCCTGTAGTATTTACTTCATAGTAGGAAGGAGAAGAAACCGGGAGATTTTCCGTCGAAGTCAACGAGTGTTCGCGGTACAGATGGATTTGAGCTCCTAGTAACGATTTATTGTACGTCGAGTCCACAATATTGAAGAAGAATAATTTGGAAGTTGTGTTTTCGACAGCTGTAAACAGTAGTATAATACCAAATTCAAATATCACGACTCTTCTTTTGTGTTTATGTCCTTAGTAAAAAAAAAATACTTACGTTTTTCAATCAAACAACGCACAGTTTTAGCGTTGAAGGGCACCAATGGCCAGTCACTTTTGGTTCTCAAAATATAAAGTCCCAGCATATACTGTGGCATAGTTTCGTTATAACTCAGAGGCCCAGAATTACCGAATTTCTTTGTAAAAACATAAAAAACATCAAAAAATACGGAAAAAATCAATCTTAGTAACAAAATGACCTGAAGTTGCTAGTTTAAAGAAGTTACCTCTCTCAATTTTTGTAACTCTTGTAGGGAATCGTTTGATTCATCCATTGAGTCATTTACTGTAGCTCCACATTGGTTTTCAGCATTAGTTGTACTGCTTATGGTTAAAATTAAAAATGTCATAATCGACGAAATAGCAACTATTTTTTCGCCCCTCATTTTTGCTCCCGAAAAGAGTGATCTTAATATTGCCAGCACTTAAATTTTGAAAAAATGAAAAAAATGAAAGGAATTATTTGAATAGAAATGGGATAATAGCAGTACAATATTGGTGGTACGCGTTTTGTAAACTTTACTTGCTGACACGGATGCCCGTGTAGTACTGAAAATCTGAAATATTGTATATGCCTGTTTCTATACATCCACTTGTATGTGACTGTGTAGAAGAATATTTAGCCTGTAAAAATGTGTGGGGACTGTATTCTATCGGTTGTATTGTCTTGTAGGCACTAATGAGAAAATAATAGTTTAGATAAGTACAAGAATGTTCTAGTCTAGTTATTTTTTTTTCTCAAGATTTTAATTTAATGTACAATAGTACCTAAATATAAGTGTAAAAAATTTCTTTACCAAATTTAAAGTTTTGCCTTCTCAAATGAAATATACCTACCTACATAGTAGTTATCTACATTTAGTTTTTCTTTTGAACATTTGATATTTATTTCGAAGCTTTATACCTGGTCACATTTCATAATATTTTCGTGATCCTTATTTGTAGTATATTTTGGCTAATACAGCTTATTTTGAGAAAAAAATGTAGCGTAAAGGAATAGTGACGTCCGCACCAAACTCCAAAATTTAATTTAAATTGACCTTGAAATAGGTGACCAGAAAAAGTAAATANGCCTTCTCAAATGAAATATACCTACCTACATAGTAGTTATCTACATTTAGTTTTTCTTTTGAACATTTGATATTTATTTCGAAGCTTTATACCTGGTCACATTTCATAATATTTTCGTGTGACTTTTATAAAAAGGATTTTTTACTTTTTATGATTTATATTTTTTAGGTTTTCAAGACATAGATCATATACCTCTTACCCGTTACTAGAATCGAAATATACATTAAAATTGTTGTATTCACCATTTAATTTTTTTCAGCAACAAGCAAAAAATATTTTTCTTGTTTCGGTGGTTTTTCGTCTTTTTTTTTCATGAAACACTAATGCCAAAATTTTCATGTCGTTTTATAAAAATCTAAATAGTGGAATATAATAGTATAAAATGTAAATGTATTTTAAGAATCGTGCATTAAAACTTGATTTGCTGTATAGCATTTAGAAACGTTTTATCGATGAAAAAAAAGTTTAGTTCCAATCTGCCTTATCTAAAAATTGTGGATTGTGGGTGCTAAGGAAGATTAAATGGAATCCTACTCGGCAATATATTATCTAGAGTTTTTTTCTCGTCAGAGCTTCTTTAAGGTCTGTTTTTTTAAGAATGCGTCTAAATAAAAAATTTCTTCATCATTGGATGTACTAGTCTGTATTTATGTGTAAGTTTGTTCTTCGATCAAGTATTTCGTGAACGATTATAAAAATACAGTATGAGTGAGAAACAGCTTATAAAAAAAAAGAAAGTAGAATAGTTTATTTCTCACATAAACCATATTAGCATTACCATCATTTTGACCAAATTTCACCATATTTTGCTTAGCAGTTCCACACCTAGCTATACCCTATTGAAACTATTACCTATGAAACTATTTACTGTTTATCATGACTGCAAAAACGAGGTAAAAAAAAAGGTTTTTTTTGTCATCAATTTCGTTGTATATTGACAAAATATACTAAACTTGATAACGTATATTTTTAAAAAAATCAGAACTCAAATGCTACTACCCAATGAATTACAAAACTAAAATAAATTTATAAACAACGCTTCTTAGGCATAACCAATAATTGAATAAATTAAAAAGAAAGAAAAAAATGGTTTTTTCCGACTTCTATGTTTTTAGAAAACATGATTCAGTGTAAAATGTTGAAACATTATTAGATAAACAAATTTAATAACTTTTTATTTAGGAACTTGCATATTAAAAAATCTAAGTGTTTAAAACATTCTCGTATAGTCTAATAAACTTGGCTCGGGAAAAAAATTCTTTATACTTTTTTTGATGGCCGAACGAAAGCTGATATTTTACTGCATGAAACGATAAAATTCTTTAAATCAAAGAAAGAGTAGTTATTGTTGCAGAAGTTTCATCGACACTAGTATATTTTTCTAAAGAGTAGCCTTGAATGTAGGGCATTCATATACATTAAACACTATTTTTCCGACCGAAGGTACAGTTCATGTTCAAATGTCAACAAAAACATCACGGAGTAAAGAATTTTTTTTTAAATTTCTTTTTAATTTCATATCGTTTAGTATTTTCTCTTATAAATAACAAAGCTTAGGCTGATTAAAGGAAACATTTCATTCAATTAAATTTTTTTTTATGTAATGTAATAAAAGTTTTTGAGGGTTACTAAGTTTTGTTTCGTTAAAAAAAAATATTCAACAGAATAAGGATGAAGAAATTCGGAAGGACAATTATCAGTGTAATTCATTTTTTTAAGCAATATGTAAATAATTCTTTATTTCGCATTGCACTGATCGTTGACAAAGTTCTTTGTCTACATGGAAATACGCAATAAACATCGTGTTAAGTATAAAGAAAATAGTATTCGATTATATGACATGTAAACTATAACAAGTTTTCTCTCAAAACATTGTTATTATAAAAAAGTATGGTTAATCTGAATAACATGCAAAATTTTCTCACTAATCAGTTGCACTGCTTTTGCAGCCACAACTGGAGACCTTACCGCCCTTTACAGTTTGATATACTACATTGTAGTTAAGGTCAAACCTAATAATGTCGAGGTTGGATATAGCCGTAGGAGCACAGCACGTATTTCTTACTTCAGCATGATAAAATTTATTTCCGTAAAGAGCTTCCTGAAAAATAAAAACGTATGAAATCATATATTGTTTTTCAAAAAATGTAGAGCATATACATGAAATTACGTTCTACGTTAATAATTCAAATTCAAATTTTTTCTCAAAATTTTACACATACATGGATTCATACTAAAACGGTTTGATCACTCCGACTCAATAAATAATCGGCTGCAGGCTCCATGAACAAAAACCCCCAGCGCCAACTTGTGGCTGTTAGGTGAGTCCGGGTGGTTACGAGAATATACGGAGTACCATGATTGCCTAAAGTCAATAATTTTTTTCACTAATATCAAGATCCTTCCTAATAGTCCCGTTATCTCAGTTAGAATTCCTGATTCCTTAACTTTTCGATGATATTTTTTTCAGCAAGAGATTTAGTTTTACTAAGTTGTAAAAAGATGAACTTCCTTTGACGCTTCTATGTGTGAGCTACACGGTCTACAAGCAACAAAGGGATATACACCTTTTTCACAACTTATTATAGTAAAATCTCATGCTGACAAAAAGTATAATCTTAAAGTTATGGGGTTAAAGATTCTAATTGAGATGATCAAACTGTTGAAACGATTTTGATATTAATGAAAAAAATTATTGACTTTAGGCAACCATGCTACTCCATGAATTCTCATAACCACGCAGACTCACCAAACAGCCACAAGTTGGCGATAGTGTCTTTGATCACGGAGCCTATAGAAGAAAACATTGTTGGATTTTTACGTAGCTCGCAGTTGA